ACAATACATACCTTTTATCCTAAAAGGTTAAGAGAAAATGTATAAATTTAATTCATATAAAAGAAGTTTCAAAATACAAATTTTATGAAAGATCAAAGCAAAAAATCAAAAGTTGAAACATACTTTCAATAGATAGAGAACTTGGGATTCTATCCATAAAAGTATGGTTTGTGATGTCAAATCCAAGAATTTAATATTTTTAGCTAAAAAATAAAACTTGGAATATGTTAAAAATTTTATTTTACACTTGTGAGAACATAAACTCTTGATCAAAACAATTTTTGAAGCAATTTAGCATGTATATTTCAATTATTCCAACTATGTCCCTTTTTGAAATCAAGTGTGACAAACAATTTGGACAAAATTTATGCATTAAGACCATTTCCAACAAGTTTGAAATATGCAAATAGAAATGACAAAAACAATAATATTCATCAAATTCATATACTTCAAGATTAAACGCCATTTATGCAACGAGTAGTGATTAAACCACACAAGAAAGATCAAATATGCTTATTTTCATTGAATGGATAATAACACAAATATATAACCAAATTTCAACATTTAACAAACTTGTCCAAGTCCTAAAAACTTGTTCATATGATTAAATTTCATAAATAAGCATTTTAAGCCTTTAACTAATCAAGTAGTACCATAAAAGCATTCAAGTGGCATAAAGTCCATTAAAAAAAAATCTTTATGGAACCAAATTCACTCAAGCAAATTCATTTATACAAACTAAATAGGATAGATTAATCAAAGCTTAATACATCAAGACTTTGACTTTTAGCATCTTAAAACTCATTTTACTTGAAAAAGGTCTTAAAAACATCAAATATTGTTAAGCACACTTTTAACCATCTAGCACTCTTTCAACAAGTTTTTAATGATAAAACCATGGATTCAAATTGCGATAGCGGTCTCATTTTCGGTCATGTTACATTTATTATGGTTGCGAACATAATGGTTGCTATCACGATCATTGCATTCATTGCGGTCGTGAATTTTTTTAAATTTTGCACAATTTATTATAAAAATATAGTAATTATAATTATAATTATAAAAAAATTTAATAATTTTTAAAGGAATTTTATGACTTTTTTTTATTTATATAAGAAAAATAATATTTATAATTTTTTGTCATTATAATAATGGTTGCTATTTATCGTTAAACTAATTTTTGCGGTTATGACATGCCGTTACCATCATGAATGCCATTCTCACCCAATATTTTTTCGATAACTGTGGCAGACATCAGCTTTACAGCAAAATAGCAGCCGTTATTTCGTTACTCCACCATTTTTTAAATCCCTGGATAAAACATAGTTGTTTATGTGGTCATTTGACCTTAAAAACAAGGGAATCAAATAGTCAACTTTTAAAATTTCATATTTTCTTGAAAAGACTATTAAGATGGACAATAGCGGTGGCAACATTTATGATGGCTTTTTTTTTTTGCTAGGAGTTGGTCAATTACTTTTTCTTTATTCTCCCTTGTTATTTCATGTGTTCAAATATAGATTTACTTTTTCTTGCAATTAATTCATGGTTTTACATGTTGTTTGGCTAGTTTTAGTGTTCATTCCTCTATTTTCTATGTTTTAGATGCTGAAAGTTAATTAAGTTCATTAAGCTTGTTTAGGTGCATCTTGAGTTGATTCTTTTTGTTAATATCAAAGTTTACTTACTTTTTTTTATTTTTTAGTTCATTTTCAGTTCATTCTTTTATTAAAGTTCTAGATCTAGGATTTAAGATGCCTTAAATTTGAATTTTGTTTTGAATTTTTAGTTCTAGTTTTCCATTCTTTGTTTGAATCTTTCGTATTTTCATACTTTGTAATTAAATTCAATTTAGGTTTAGGTTATGTTATTGTTCTTTAATGAGTTTTACATTATTGCTAAAGGTTTGGTCTTTCTTTATAGGCAACAATATCCTCTACCTTAGCTATCTTAGCCTAGCGCAATCCACTATATGTTAAATCTTGCAAATAGCCTATCCAAATCTAAAAATATAACAAACCAAAAATCTTCAATGGTTTTCCCTAAAATTTCATAGATATACTCAAGGGTTTCATTGTCTTTGAACCCACAATCTCAAATAAGATAAAGTGTTCTTGCAAACAAACAACCTCACAAAGGTTAGGTGTTTGCCAAGTAAGTATAAGAAGAAACTAAATGGAAACAAATGAATATTAAATACAAGGATAAAGAAGTTAAGCTCTAAACACTTGATTTTTCTTAAATTACTTGAAGAAATTGAATCAATACTCTTTAGGTGTTGTCTTTTGACTTTAATGATGTTGGAAGAGTCCTTTTTATAGAGAAATTAAGTTTGGACCCATTGGGAATTGTTTAAAAAAAGAAAATACATGTTTATCTCTTAAAAGACTAACTATTAGAGGTTGTCAGGAATGAAAAGATCGATCGAGTACATTAACAAATCAATTAGGTATTGAATTTCATTCAAATTTCAACCATTACAGGATAATGGATCAATCCATTTTGATAAAGGATTGCTCCATTTTCAAAATGGATCCATTTTCTTAGCCTTTTCCATAATGGTTCAATCTATTTTAATAGAGATCAATTGGTTCTTGTTGATCTTCAATTAGGGGTGATTTTGAATGAATAGTGTAGTCGACTGGCTTAAACTAAATATTATTTTATACTTTACTTATTAATTTGATCATATTTTGAGTTATATAACTTCAAATTAAAATCCATTTGAATGCTTAGAAACTATACTTAAAGGCTTTCTATCTATATAAAATCATCATATGATTCAATGTATAAAAATTATAATGAATTTTCAAATCTATCATTTATGTAATTGTTAAACACCTTGCATAGTCTCTAGTAAAAATCTAAAATATTTTCTTATAAAATTTAAATTTTGATTTTGTTTGATCCATTAAAAAATAGGCTCAAGTAGCTTTCTAACCATATATAATTCAAATATTAAAACTTTGAATTTGAATTAAAAAAAAAAAAGAAATTCATTGTTGGAAAATCTTATTCTTACAAAACATCTTTTTCTTATTAACCAATTTTTCAAAGCCAATATTATCAAAATTATATCGAGTTCAAGATGAATAAATTCATTTAAAAAATAACAATTGAACTTTCATTTAAAATCAATTTAAAGAGTATTTTTTATTTGAGAAATACAAAACATAAAAAAAGATTTTAAGCTTTATAAAAATATTTTTCAAATCAAATAACATTTTGAAAAATATAATATTTATTTAGTACCAAAATAATATATCATAAAAATCATGTACAAAAAAATCTTTTCAAAATGTAAAATCTTTTTACAAAATATTTTTTATTTCAAATATCACTAATATTTATTTAGTACTAAAAGTAATATAATTTAAGAATATTTACTAAATAAATCTCTTTTAAAATTTTAATTAAATTTACCTAGCTTAATATTTTATCATTTCAAAATAAGGATCAATATAAAGCTAACAAAATTAAAAAAAAAAAAAAAAACTCCTTATATAAATTTTTTAAAAGATTCAACTATTCATGATTTATAAGAATTTCATCTTTGCAATAATTTTTATTTATTTTCAAATTTTTATTACTTTTTTTCTTGAAAATAAACTTCAATTATTATTTTAGTTTTATAAAAAAAAATTCTACCACTAAGATCAAATTAAAAAAGTTCTTATTAAATTTTTTTTAAAAAATTAACTATTCGTGATTTTTAAAAATTTAATCATTGAAATAATTTTCATTCATTTTCAAAGTTTTATTACATTTTTTTTCAAATGTAAAAAATTACTGTTGTTTTTAAGTAATCAAATTTAAAATTGAAATAAATAACTAACTAAAAAATAATAATACAAAAATAATAAAATAAACAAAAAAAAATGAAAAGCATTACAAATGGGTCAAGTTGGTTCAAGGGTATAGCACAGGTCGCCTGCGGATCTAAACGAGTTGTACATTATGAAGCGACACCGTTTTGGTGCTGCTTAAATAGGCCAAAGTAATGTTTTTCTTTTTCTTTTTCCCTTACTTTTATCTTCCATTCTCCCTAATCTCCATATCGTCTATCCAAAAAAAAATCCAGAAATTCAAACAACGAAGAACACCGATACTCTTAACTTAGATTTCGACCTGTCACCGCCGTCGTAGGCTGCCACTCACTTGCGTCGATGTAATTAAAAATTCCACTCAAATGCTCTCTGTCACTTCCCCTTTCCTTTTCTTTAATTGAATTTATTGAAAAACATATAAATTGGCCTAGATATAAGTACAAAGCCATTGGCTTCTAACCAAAAAAAACCTCTTCCGTCGTTGCAAATGTCCTTGTTTTTTATATGTTGTTCTCCTCCTATTTATCCTCCTCACTATTTTTGAAGTCTCAAATATTCTTAAAATCATACGAACCGAAATATTAGGATCTCTTTTTTTTTTTTTTTGGTACTTTGCGTTGCTTCCTCCTTAGACGATGATGCTGGTAGGCTTTTTTGTGTTTTAAATATGGCTTATCCTTTTTTTTTTTTTAAATGGGATTTCTAAGTAAAAAAAAGTGGTGATTTTTTTTTTTTTGGTGGTGGTTTAGACGGTAACTATCTTTCTTTATTTCGGGTTTTTATCGTTTAGTTGGATCGTTTATTTTCTTGAAAACGTATGTATAAATCAGTTATCTATTTGGTGCTTCCCGCATATTGTTTCTCAAACCGATTTCTCTTCGCTTCCGCATTCCTTGGATCTGGATCTGTTGAAACATATAAAAGAAAACTATGGGTTCATTAGAATATTATACTGATTAAGAGGTAAAAAAGTAATGTTATTATAATATTCTGTGATTCTTTCAATAAATAGTAATATGGATCTTTTCTATCTAAATAAATTATTTGTAACTGAAAAAAATATGTATTCAATTCGTTTGGACTCTCTTCTTAAAAAAAAAAAAAAAAAAAAAAAAAACCTTGGTCTTAGATGGCCATCTCATCTTAACCTATAACAACAACAATTAAGCGTTTCACCATGATGGAGACTTCAGTGCACCAGCAAATTTAAATCCAGTGTACATGATTCTAGTTGGCTCCTCAATGATAAAATTGAAAATGAAAGAGAAATTTCATTCCCCATGGCGTAAGTAACATGGTATAGTTACAATTAAAAAAGCTTGGTGGAAGGAGCAAATGGGAGATAATTATCACACACACATAACAAATTAAAAAAAAAAAAAAGGCAAATTCTTAAACCATATTGCTTTTCTCCACTCCACTCTATGCCTACCTTCCTTCCCAATTTTCCAAGAAAACTTTATACTACTACCATATTCTTTGACATTTTAACAACGAAATTTCGTCGTTAAAGTTGATTTTCTTGTGATGCGTTGATCCAATGCAATTTTTTACAAAAGACAAGAGAGCACCTTGACCTTAGGCATGGGGACTTCATTAATTCAATCAAATGACCCCACAGGGCAACATGATTCTTTCTCCACTCCCAATCACCAGAGGTTCCTGAAATAATTAACAACAACCGATCACATGAGTGCCATGTTTTATAATTATTTTATAATAATGCTTTGGATCAGATCTGGGGAAAGAATTTGAATACTTAGTAAACTACATTAGGTGTGATTTAAACTTGCTTCATGTGAACATCAATATTCTGAACTATACCTTGAATTTTACCATTATACAATCTCAATCTTAAAATATAAAATAAGTAGATTAAGGCTTTGTTTTATAAGATGATGAAATTTTTCTTAATTTAATGGTTAGGTTTTATAATCACATTTTCCAGTTTATAATTCAATCTTTAGAATTTTTTTTTCTATCCTTCTTATCAAATGTAACGATTAATGCATATACATTAAATAGATGGGTGAGATGTCGTTCTCTAAATAATTATTACTTTTTCATCTCAATTTTAATTTTTCCTTCTTGACTTTCATCCATATTAAGAAAGAAACTTTAACATTTATATATTTAATATTATAAATCCATTTTTATAATATTAATGTACTATGCTTTTTATTGTTAAAAAATTAAAAAATTGAAAAATCAATTTTTAAAATACAAAAGTAAGAGTACAAGATGTTTAAAAATTTTTTAAAAATTTATTTTGCAACATTTAAAAAAAAAAAAGGTGAAAACTTGTAATGAGACCAAAAGAGTAATATGCCAAAGAAGTACTAAAAACCATTGCTACTTATTTTAAGGAAAAATATATATTAATGTATTACAACACTAAACAACCACCCCATTCCTAAAAAAATAAATTGATTACAAATATATTAAACTATATTTTTACAAGATTTAGAGTTACAAAACTTGGTAGATATAAATTTTCAAATTCTGTCTTTGTTGTGCTTTACTTAGATTGACAATTAGAGTGACCAAACCCCAAGGTCATAGGACCGCGACAAGCACGTGTCATGTAAAACCAGAAAAAAAGACTGAATAAATCTCAAGCAAAGCTTTTGGTTGGTTCAGTTCTTCATAAATCAAACAAATTTAACCAAAAGTATGTCTTGATTAATACCAAACCAAACAAAATCTAAAGATAGGTAAGCAGTCATGTCTCAACACCTAACCGAATCAGTCGGCATACATGTGAATTCATATATTTTTTTTGTGCTCTTACCATATCAAGTATAAAATACAAAAAAAAATTATAAAATTGAATTATATTGATACACTAAATATAAAATAAAAAAATATTTTTTATTTTGATCAAACTCACATTTAAATTTTACTAAAATTTTAAACATTTTTGTATTTTTCTTTTATATTATTCTTATATTGTATTATCGTATAATACGTTTAAAATGGTCAGATTTAAAAAAAAATAAAAATGAGGACGGTGATGTCTGTTGGCTTCTACCAATTCTGTCATAAATAAAAAGACCAATTGTTTATTTTACTGACCCCAATTGGCAATTATAGCCTGAAATCGAGGGGGAGTTGTTACCCACAGAAGATCAGTATTATCAGAAATGGAAATGAATTTGACTCTCGAATCTCGACACTAAACTCAGTTCTATAATTTTAGCCACACAAAGGAGTTAACTCAGACTAATTCTAATGAGAAAAGAGTGACCAAGTGATTGAAAAACTTACCCAATTCACTTCAATCTCTGAATATGACATCATCGGCGATTGCCATCAAGGATTTCAAGCAATCCGGTGAGAACTTTCGAGCAAAAAAGAAGGAATAAGTGGAATTGGACTTCCTCAATGTATGTAAAAGGGCCGGTGAAACTTCCGGGGCATGGTAGGTAAGGGGATGACCATCGACACTGCCAGTCCAATTGACCCTGGTTAAAGTGTAATGGCTGCATCCTTTTGGATCCTCCATTGATAAGAATGTTGGAAAATAATGTTCCTCGGGGTAGCACGAGTCCAAATCTATACAAGGGATCTTAAATTTTCTCCACAATTTCCTTTCTTTCAGTACAAGTAAAGCATGCCTTTTTGCTAGCACGAAAAACTGAGATCCAACCCTGAATTGGTCGAATGATATTTCAGGGAGCATCACGCCCTCGCCTCGAGCAACGTAGCGGTTGTGCAAATGTGGATCTTTGGATAAAATCTCGATGTAGCTTTTGTGAGAAGGTTGGGTTAGAAAGGCTTTGGATGCTGCATTTGGGTTCCCGAGAAGGGAAGTGTAAATGTAATTGAAGGAATGGAGAGGAATACAATGTTGGGATACCAGGGCAAAGTAGAGATTGAATGGATCGTCGATGATGGCGTTGGCTAGGAGTCTGCGGGCGGCGGAGATGAGTGTTGGGGAGGCGCGTTCAGTTCTCTTGGCTGGGATGAAATTGGCTTTAATTGACCACTGTGGGGTTGACAGTTTGTAGGATGGATCGGCATGGACATAAACATTGAATAGATTATCATTTCCCTGGAAAAAGCGTTGCCACAAGGGGGCAAAGACAAGATCCGAGTTTGTAAGGAAAAGGAAGGCGATTTTAGGCTTCGGATTAGTAGTACCCAGATGGGAAGTCTTGGAAAAGCCACGGGTTGATGCGAGAGTGGCTTCCTGGAAGAGATGGAGATCATCCAATTCATCCTGGAGAAAGATTGGGGATTGTTGTATTTTTTGTTGTTTCCTGAGAGGGAGGATTTGAGGGGCAAAAAGAAAAAGAAGGAAAAGAGAAAGGAAAAGGGTAAGAGAGTACACAAAATGAGATGATGATGATGATGATGATGATAACATTGTTTTGGTTTTGAGGTCTTTGATTGTGGCAGCGGTAGGTTAATTTGGTGGCTTTATATATAACTTCAGAATTTTCCCTCCAAATAAACAGAAGAAAAGGAAAGTAAAGGAAAGATTTAAGATTCCTTAGTATTACTGAACTTCATTATTTTATCATCTCATCCACTCCATGCTTGGCTTCTTCGAAAGAAAGAGAAATAAAAAGAAAAAAGAAAGAGGCTTGCAAATTGGACAGAATCACAGCAAAAAGATAAAAAGATCAGAAGACTTGGTTTTGGAGCTGAACAGGGGAGAAGTGAGGCAGAAGAAAAGGATGAAGGACAGTACTGACAATTGAGCAGAAGGACAGAAAAAAAGAAATGGTGGCCTGGTGGGGGCAGTCAGCAGTGTCAACTCCATGGCGTGGTGGGTGGGGCAGTCTTGTCAATTATCAATATATTCAATAGTCCTTTAAGATAAAGAAAACCAATCTGTTAAGGAATTGGATCTCGTGGGATATCTATCCAATCCAGCTAGTTAAGCTGATGGTCACGAGGCTCTTAGCCGTTAAAAATAAAAAATATATTATGATATTTAAATTAAAAAAAATTTAATATATTATTTGAATTATAAATATTGAATCAAATATATTATTTATAATTTTTATTATAATATTATAATTATTTAATCATAATAAAAAATTATATAAAGACAATTATTTATAATTGAAGTTTTTATATAAAATTTTAATAGATTTTATATCATTTTAAATTATAATTAGTTAATTAGATTATAATAATTATAGATGAAATATTTCTTATATTTAAAAAATTATTTATTCATTATATGTTATTATTCAAAATTAATAATATTAATAATATTTATTTATTTATAATTAAAATATTATAATAAAATTTTTTAAAATTTAAATATCATATTTAATATTCTTTTTATAATTATTTCAACTTTACCTTGTTTCGTTATATTTTGAAAGATTTCATGTATCGGACAGATGGATTTATCAGCCATCTCAAACCCAAAGCCAAGTTAAATTCTGTTAATTTGATTATTATATTCTATTTTTAACTGGAATCTATATTTTATTAAAATAATTTTTTAAATCCCATTAAAACCTGCAAAATATAATATTTTTAAAGGATAACATATTTACAATTTTCAATAATTAAAAATTAAAATTTTTAATAATTATAATCCTTTCAATACGTATGATAATCCATTGTAAATGGTACCTAACCCCATATTTTTAAATAAAAAAATGTTGAATTGGTTAAGTTGATAGAAATCTACTTATCGCCGAGATGTAGATTTTGCTTAGTCAATTTTACTTTAAGAATTTATTTTTTGGATTTTATTTTATAAATAATTTATGTTTTCCCTTATAAATAATTATTTTATAAATAACCCTTCCAAAAACCACTTAAGTAATAAATATATATGTATATATGTACACATATATGTAAATAATAGCTTAATTCTATTTTTTATTAAAAAAATTTACTCATACTATACTTCATTGGAATAAAAATTAAAAATACAAAAGTAAACAAGACTTCAAAAGAACAAAAGAAAGAAACAAAAATAAATAAATAAATAAATAACAGTCATTTTGAAGAAAAAAATCATAAAATATATGATTAATCTCATATATCTAATTATAATAATACCATAAAACCTACAAAAAGAATTGAGAATGAAGTATTAATGGAATAAAATCTCCAACATGTTCCACCGTAATGAATTTATTTATAGATTAAATAATGAAGATCAAAAGGCATATCAATAAATAATTATAAAATGAGTATAACAATTATAAAATCTAAATAATTTGTAGTACAAATATTATTAAAAATAAAACACATTTTATTGTTTCAAAATGAAATTGATTTGTATTTTCTTTCAAAGATTTATTTTTTAATCATTAATTTATGAAACATTGAGAAGATTGAAAATAATATAATAACATTTTGTGACGTTTTGTTTTTCTATCATTTTAATTTAATCAAGTTATTAATAGAATATGAAATAGTTTTTCGAATAAGATTGATTTATATTCTTTTCTTTTTCAAATATTTATTTGAAATTATTAAATAATAAATTATAAAAGGTTGAAATTAATAAAATAATATTTTTGTGAGTTTTCTCTCCTTACTATTTTACTTAAATTCAATGATTAGGGGAATATGAAAAGTTTTGAAATTAATATCACAATATTTTTGCATTTTCATTTTCTTATCATTTTAATTAAAGAGTTAATGGCATTTTTGTATTTGAATTTTGAAAAAATGTACAAATTAGTATCTAAAAAACTAAAATGTATAATTTGTTTCTTAAACTTTCAAATAATGTATCATTTTAATTTAAATTGTAATACTATTAATTTAATTAGCCTATATGATATCTAATCAGTATAATTTTTTTATATATAAAGACTTTTATTTTTTTAGATACTAAATTAATCACAAGTAAATGATATAAAAGACTATTTTTATATTTAACTCAATCAAATATGATAATTTTAATACTTAATATTTATTGTTTAGAATTCAATTTTAATATATATATATATATAGAGAGAGAGAGAGAGAGAAATTCTCTCAAAATCTTAAACCTCTTTTGCAAGATTGAATCTTAATCCAACAATATCAAAAGTAAGATCTTATGCTTCTTATTGATTTCTTCTTTATTTTTCTTTGTTATTTTATTTAAAGATAATTGTGGCAATACTATAATTCTCGTGGATATTGTTTTGATTGGAAGCAAGTATGAGAAGGTAAAGAAAATTTTTACTTACGAATTTATGGTTATCTAATGTGAGAATTTCTTCGACTTCTATTTTAATAGAGCTTGTCTCTTTGATATAGCCTTTTACATATCACTTTTAAATTGAAAAAATAACTGAATACTGATTAAGTGAAGTTAATTACTTTATATTTGAAAAATGTTTTGCACAATGTTTTCAATTCAATATTGAAAATTTGAAAAGGTTTATTATAATATGTATATATATATATATAAAGATTTAATTTTATAAATTTTTTTATCAAAACAAACAATATCGTGCTTTCACTTCAATTTGAATACTTAACTCGCACACCTTTAAATCACAAATTTATGAATATTAAGGTAGAGTGATCATGTATAAGTGACAAAGACTAACTTTAAACAAAAGAGCCTTCTCTCTTTCTCTCTCTCTCCTTTCTCTCTCTATTACATTTTACGTTGAAGCTCGAAAAGGTTATATTGTTAGAAATTTTCAAGAGTGTATTTAGATGAAAATTTTTAAAATTTTGAAAACATTCAAAATGAAAACATTATAAAATGCATCATTTCAAATACTAGCATTTGTAATTTTTTGTTTGAACAAATTTTTTAAAAAAGAAATTTAATCTATTAGAATTTAATGAGATAAAAAAATTATAAAAGAAAATTAATGATATTAAAGATAAAAATATATATGTATAAAGAAAATATGCAATATAGGTATCATTAAATTTGTAAAAATATATAAATATTATTAATAATATAAAAATAAAAATATATATTGCAATTAAATAAAATAGTATTTATTATTTTGATTTTTTATTTTATAATAGGTTATGTGCAATAAAGAAAGAGAAGCATAGCTATTAGTTTCATTTCGATACGAGTCATATCGATCAGTATGCTCCAGTTATACTAAAATATGATATACTTAAGAATAGTTTTTTTATCAGATTTAGTACTGAATAATACCGGTTATTTTCATTAGATTTAGCTTATTTTAGTAAATTTTGGTGGATTAATTTGTTTTGGCCAATATTTGAATGTACAATATGTTTTGTAATTTTTAATTTATCTTTTATTATTTGACAATTTTTAACCTAATAAAAATAAATTAATTAATAAAATAATTCTTAAAAGTTGAGTTTTTCTTTATTTTTATTGTAACTTAGTTTCTTATATATATATATATATATATATATTTTTTGAAAACAAAGGTTCATAAGTATTTCAATTTATTTCAAAACAGCAATTGTATTCCATTTCTAAAGTTTTAACAATCATGAAGCCAAGGTTAATTTTTTCATCTTTTTGTTTTTATCATAATATTTGTATAAAAAATACTTATTTAAATATTATATGATCAGATTAAATGTTTAAAAATATAATAAAAAATTTATGATACTATTTCTTATATTTTTAAACTTATTTATTTGATTTTTGAAGATATTATATATTTATTTTGTAAATTATTAATAGTATTATAATGTACAAATTCACATATATTTATATTAAATAAAAAAATCTGAAATAATATGCCGAAACAACTAATATCAACATATACCATAGTTTTAAAGTAAATTAAAACATTGTCCAGTACGATTTTAACAACTTTTAAGAGAAATTTTGCAAGAATTTTAAAAAACCACCTATTTAGGTGGAATTTCAGGAAGGAATTTAAACACCTCAAATTCTCTTAATTTCCACATAAACTTTGAAAATTTCTTTCATTTTTACCCAAATAAATAAATTCATTTTTAGACTTTTAAAAACCTTGATTAAAATGAAATTTCTCCTTCAAATACCTCATCAAAATACATCCCAAGAACACTTACCTAAATAAATATTGTTTGATCAGATTAACTGTTTAAAAATATAATTAAAAATTTATGATTTATTTCTTATATTTTTAAACTTATTTATTTAATTTTTGAAGATATTATATATTTATTTTGTAAATTATTAATAGTTTTATAATGTACAAATTCATGTATATTTATATATATTTGTATTAAACCAAAAAATAAAAAATAATATGCTGAAATAACCAGTATCGACATATATCACATTTAAAAAAAATAAAATATTGTTTGGTATAATATTAATAACCTTGGAGAGAAAATTTGTAAGAATTTTAGAAAACCACCTATTTAGGTGGAATTTCAAGAAGGAATTTGAACATATCAAATTCTCTGAAATTCCAAATAAAATTTGAAATTTTCTTTTATTTTTATCCAAATAAGTAAATTAATTTTAAAATTTTTAAAAACCTTGATTGAAATGAAATTTCTTATTCAAATATCTCATAAAAATACATCCCAAAAGTTTTTATAAATTTGCCTATGATAATAATAAAGTTTTAGGTATGTTTGATATATAAAATTATGAATAACATAAGATAATTACTATCGTATCATATATTTGGTGCACATATAAGAGAAATGATTAGATTGTAAAGAAAATTAGCTATCCTACGATGACTCAATCTTTTCGAAGTACAAAGAATTATTTCTAATCTTATAAGATTAGATAAATATATGCATATAAATTACTTCTTTTACTCTTAAAACTTACATTTGAAATTTAACTTAAAAATTTAATAAGTTAACAAATGTCATTATTTAATTGGTTAATTCAAACTTTTTTTTTCATTTCCATTCTTTTCTATTTTCCTTATTTTCTTTTTTTCCTCTCTTTTCTTTCTTTTTTTAAAATTTTTTTGAAAAATAATTTAA